GTGAGAACAACCGACGTACACGTTGCTTCGTCGGAGCGGGCGGGCGGGGGGGGGGGGGGTGGCGTTCACTTCTGCCGTTATCCACACAGCGTGGCCAATTGCTCTTCTTCGTTTCATCGTCATTCCTGGAAATGCGTTTTCGTGCCAAACCGAAAGTGAAACCGGGGGGGGGGGGGTGGTGGTGGGGGAGGTTGCGCGCTTCGTGGTTACATGCCCTCGGTTGTGCGACCCGGCCACTTCGTGGTGGGTCCGCTCACCCCGATTGTGTCCAACCTTTTGGAAAATACATTCCTTTTATACGTCCTTGACTGAAGTCTTCTTTTAAGAGCCGATTAATAATAGATCAAGGCTGATGATTGCAAGCTGTGAGCAACCGCTCAAAGTTACAGAGGTATGTACTCATGAATTTGTCAAACAGCCGCTAAACCCCACACACTACGAGTTGCAACAGCGATGAATATTTCTGTGTTTTAATATACGGTATATATTTAAAATACAAATTTTTATATTTGCATGCAGTGCCTTAAACGTCGCGTACGATAGAAGAGAAGGCATTATTTAAAGCTATTTGTAATCGGATAAATTGGCAGCGGTGGGCTGGCTTGCGTGTGTTTTTTGTTGTTGTTAGCGTCGTCTGTGTGACTGAAATGTTTTGCGATAAGCCAGAATTTACAATAATGTGGAGGGGCTGAAAATTAATTCTGGCGACGATCAAGGGATTTCTTTCTCTGCAACGAAATCCAAAGCTAAATTTTTATTGACTTGTTGTTTAAGCGTCGCATTATTCGTGCGTGTACTCTATTTTTGGGCTGCCGGTTAAACAAAAACGCATGCCCGGTTTGCCTTAGCTTGAAGCTATCGAGGCGTTTTTGTTGTTGTTGTTGCAGGGGGCGGGGGGGGGCGGTGATCGTGAGTCGCGTCGTCCGGAAGTTATGGACCCCCGCGAGTTTGAGTGGCTGCGGTTTTTGTAATCTCCACGTTGATCAGCGCGCCTTCAAACGTTTTAATTTCTTCGTGACCATTTCGTGTTTTGTTTGTTGCGGCCATTGTTGTTATATTACTGTACAAATTCATTAAATGTTCTTTGATTTAAGAGGTTTTTTTTAAGTTGTTGCTCTTTGCTTTTATTATAATTTCATCGTCGATGTTTTATTTTTATTATTTTAATTCGCGTATTTGTTGTCGCTGTTGCTGCTCCCATGATTGGTTCGGCATTATATTCAAGGACGGCAACTGCCCCAAGCACTTCCGTGGTCACGTGACTTGACTCGCAATCGGAAGGGTCACGACCTATCAACCCCGCCCGCTTAAGGGTCAAATTAGCCCATTATCATGCATCATCACCGTATATCAACCCTGCTTAAGGGTCAAATGAGCCCATTATCATGCATCATCACCGTAAGACGGGCGTCAATAAAGTAAGTACCACTTTGGGCGCAAAGTCAACACTGATCGTCCTATTGGGAGAGACTGTCCCCCACACCCCCGCCATGGTAATGTGGAATTTCCACCAGTGGGCTCAGGGATGCCACTGGAGATACGAGCGCTTACCAAGCAACTCCGTGTGGAGCGTGGAGACATTGCGCCAGAGGTGTTGGTTCCATGGTGGGGGACAAACGGGGACCTCAGTTTACTTTCAACGTTTACTTAAAGCTGAAATAACACACACACACACGTCTTGTGCTCTGGGGGTCACAAAAGCAAACACGATTTTTGGTGCACACGCACACACGCACACACGCACACACACACACACACACAGTGGCCGTGACCCTAACGCATGCACACACGCACGCACACACACAGTCGCCGTGACCCTAACGCACACACAAAAAAGACAGATCCCCCGTGTAGCCTTAACAGACTGTTGGGGTATGTGCTGTTAGCGAGTAGCACCTATGAAGGTCGGCACGGCACACGAGGGGGTGGGTGGCCAACACCACGCCCAGTCGCCTTTGTCTCCCCAGTGGCGATGTTTTTACGCACCACACCAGGTACTCATTTGAGGCCGAGTCGACCTAGGGGAGGCCCAGGACCAGTTCAGATAATCGTCACCGATGTTGGCCGTGAGCGGGAATCGAACTCGGCTCGCCGAGTTTGCTCAGACCACAGTGCACAGAGGGCGAGCGCACGTTAATCCACGGTGTTAGGAACGCATGTGCTTCGTGTTGAGCAGTAGTATTGTTTTTGCACTCACAAGGCATTTGTTTCCCGACCATGAAGTTGCTAAGACGGCAGCGCCCAGAGAGAGCGAGATGACGTTCATCCACGCAACGATCGCGCTGGCTCGTCGTACCGCGTGTGCCTCTCGTTTGCGATGTTCCCGCGCTGGGCGAGGGTTCGCCCGCTCCGCTTTGCGCGTCCTGCGTGTCGCTCACGCGGCGGACGACCAAGGCACGCTCGCTCTGGACCGATCGCCGATAAACCCCGTGCGTTGTGTGTCGCTGGCGTTTCCCCCGCGCACGCTCGAACCGCGTTCTTCTCCGTGCGGCCGAGAGAGGCCTCGGGGCAGTACAGCAAGCGGGATCGTGAAACCGCGTGCGCGTGAGCGCCCCCACCTCCCGAGTGCACGAAACTAAACTATGAAACTGTTTTAATTTAGCAGGTGTGTGTGGCCCCACTGAGCTGTGGTTCTTTTTTTTTCGAAGCGACCTCCTGGCGATCGCAACTGATGGCTGAGCCAGGTGGCTTATCGTCTTCGTCGCGTGGAAATTTCTAGCAGCCGAATCCTCTACACGCGTGGCGATGTCGCTTCCGAATGCGGAGAGAGAAAAAATCCACGCGGCCGCGGGGATAGAGAGAGGCTCAAACTCCAAATATAGAACAAGCGTCAGGGTCGGATTTGAACCCATGATCTCCTGTGTACCGGGCGAGGTAGATAACATTTCCTAGCCACCGTGGTGACGATTCCCTTGCGTGCGTCAGGTTTCTCCGTTACACACCTTGTTTCAAACCTAAAGCGCTCGTTGCGATCAAAACTATCGCAGCAACCCAAATTGATTGTCCCAGCGCCCCGATGCGCGGGGGGGGGGGGGGGGGCGGTTCGTCACAATCTCAGCGAAGTTCGCTGAGATTGTGGCGTCGTGCGCGTGTGTGTGCGCGTGTGTGTGAGGCCACTTGAAGTGGCCTCAAAAGTGCACCGGTCCTGGCACCGGCGCCGTGGTGACGTCACCGTCGCTTCGTGGCGAATGGCGGCTGCGTTGGTGTGCGCGTGTGCGCGTGTTTGTTTAATGGTCCACTCCGCACTCCGCCCCGCGTATTGATCTCATCGATGTCCAACAAGGACGACGCTTGGCGGAGCAATGCAGCAATTAACGGGGACTCCCTCCCGACAATAATGAGGAGCTGATGCGAATTTCGTCTCGTTGGTGAGATTGTTCAGATTTATTTGGCTGCTATAAATGTCCACGCGATTTGCCACTTCGTAGAGCCATCATTCTGTGGCCAGGGTCTCTTCTGAAGAATAACGAATACCTCGGTGGGCTTTATCTGGTAAGATGTAAAAAAATAGTTTTGTTTTGGTGATTGTTTTACCTTTCGTTTGTTGTAACGTTTTGACCCGCGCCCTATTGGACATCTCTGAAAAAGAGCTCTGTCGCTCATCAGATTCCTCCAGTCGAAATAAATATCGTTTTGGGGGTGGGGGGGGGGGGGTGCAGCCGGTTTAGATTCGGCATCGTTGGGTGCCAGCGCCCCCGCCAAAATACAAAGATCCCCCGTATAGCCTTAGCAGGCGGTCGGGGGCAACTGCTGCTAGCGAGTAGCACCCACTAGGCCTCGGCAAGGCGAGGTAATTGTACCCTTTTTACCGGGTGAAAGGGTAAAGGTAAAGGTGTCGACATGCCAAGGGGTAAGGGTAAAGGGTAGGGTAAAAGGTAGGGTAGAGTGATTGTATTGTGGTAAGGGTAAAGGTAGGGTAAAGGTAGGCTCGTTGTTTTTACACTTTTACCTTACCTTGCCGAGGCCAGGCAGCACCCACGAAGGTGACGCGGCGCGGCACGCGAGAGTGGGGGGTGGGTGTCCGTCACCACGCTCTCGTTGCCACCCCCCCCCCCCCCCCCCCCCGCGTCGTAGCGGCTGCTCGATCTGACGCAGGGCGACCGTGCCGGGCGAGTTGTTTTTTGGCAGAAAATTTTGGTGGAAAACGACGACGGCAAATTGTTTTTCGGTTGCCCCCCCACACCCCCACACCCCCCTCCACCCCCCGCCCCTTTATCGCAGGATATCCTGGAAGACTTTGCCCGTACATGCGCCGGCTAAAAAACAAAACCCGAACCCCGCGCACGCAAAGCTTAATAAATCTGGCCGGATAATGAGAAAACGACGATGGTAAGCTTGCAGAGAGAGGAGGAGACAGGGAGTTGGGGGGGGGGGTTGGGGTGGGTGAGGGAGGGAGTCAACACTGTGACACTAATCCAAGATGCAAATCACGGCGTTATCAACGTGGCCAAGTGCCTCGCCCGCTGAGACAAAACGAGCGCGGCGTGAAGGGCCGGTTGCGGGCCGGGATTTATCGGCTTGAAGTTACGGGGGGGGGGGGGGGGGGACACGGTAAACACTCGTCTCGGCAATGACTAACCACCGCCTCCCCCCCCCGGCCGCTCAGAAGTAACGCTCCCGTGTGTCGACTCGTGCCGCTGCGTCTGCGCTCTCTAACGCTCTCGCCCCCCTTGTTGTCATCCTCCCTCCTCCTCCTTGTTCCTGACTCCTTCATTTCTTTTTTTTCAAACGTCCATTCTTTTCAAACATTTCCTGCGTGCGCGTTCCTCACTTCCTCCATCGTGTGGTATCCTCATCCCTCCTCCCCTGGCCCCCCTCACACAATTCCTTCCCATAATGCCCTTCGACTGCCGACCCTCCCCCCCCCCAATCTACCTTCCCTGCCACCGCTGGTACGACCACTTCCACGGGTTCCCCCCCCCCCGCCCCCCACTTCCCACCGCCGCCCCCCTTTACCACCACGCCACCCTCCCCCCCCCCCCTCACCGTCGGCGCCGCAGTGCGACCAAGACCAGTGCCTCCAGAACAGCAAGCTGATGTTCCAGGCGGCCGCCACTCCGCTGCTGCAGATGGACCACAAGGGGGCCGCGCCGGGCGCCGGCGGCAAGGGAAGCGGCGGCGGCGCCGTCAGGGAGCCGCGCCGCCGCGCTTCCTCGGCGGGCCGCGCCCCCGCGGGGCTGGCGCTCTGCGCCACCGTGGGCTCCATGGAGGAGGAGATGGCCTACGCGCCCGCGGGCGCCGGAAACCCGGCCGATGCCGCGCCGGCCTCGGCCGCCCCGCCCGCCCCATCTGACCCCGCTGCGGCCGCGGCGTCGGCGGCAGGGGGGGCCGACCCGGCGAGGAAGCCGGGGGGGGAGGCGGGTAGCGAGCGCCGGCGCGGGGAGCCGGGCCCCGGCGACGGCGCGTCCGGCCCGCCGGCGTCGCGGAAGGCCGAGCGGCCGGCGAGGACGGCGTCGCGCCGCCTGCGCCTCGAGGAGTCGATGAAGTTCCCGATGATCGACGACGACGACGAGGAGGAGGAGGACGGGGAGGACGGCGAGGAGGGGGATGAGGAGGGGGAGGGGGAGGCGGGGGGGGGGCGGCGAGGCGACGCCGGGGGGCGGCGGCCCCTGCCCCCGGGCCTGGTGGCGATGCCCATGAGCCCCATGGTGGTGCACCACAGCCACACGGTGCACACCCTCAACCCGGCGACACACGAGATGCTGCAGGAGGTGTCCGCCCGTGGGCTCGTCAAGCTCAGCTCGGTGTGACCGGTGGGAGAGGTGGCGAGCGCTCCCTCCGCTCGGCGTGACGTCACGGGAGGGGCGTGACGTCACGGGAGGAGCGTGACGTCACGGGAGGGGCGTGACGTCACGGGAGGGGCGTGACGTCACGGGAGGAGCGTGACGTCACGGGAGGAGCGTGACGTCACGGGAGGAGCGTGACGTCACTCCTCCTGTGTGTGTGCGCGCTCGCCCCCGAACGCCGCTCCCGTGTCCGTCTCCGATGCTGTCGGTGTGTTTGTGAATGTCCCTGTCGTCTCATTTTTTCCGGTCCACTCTTGTCCCATCCCTTGCCCCCCCCCCCCCCCCCCCCCCCCGTACGCTGGTCTCGTTCTCTCTCGCCCCCTTGTCTCTCATCCTTGTTGTCCCTGTGCTCTCCGTGTCCTGCCGTCATTCCGAGCACCCTTCGTTGTCTGCCTCCTCCACCGTTGCTCCGTCCCCTCGTTCGCTCGTACCCCGTGTCTGTCCCTCCCCCTCTCATCTCTTTTTGTTTCGTGGCTTTTCCCATCCTCGGTGTCCTCTCCCGTCGTCCGAATCTCTCTCCCTGCCGTCGTCCTCCCGTCTCATCCCCTCCCCATCCCCTCCTCCTCCTCCTCACCCCCTCCTCGTCAGCGTCGTCGTCCCCACACTGGCCACCCCGGTGCGTTCCGCGTCGATGGGCGTGCGAGCGCGCGCGAGAGAGGGAGATTGAAAACGGCCCCGTCGACATGAACACGTGCCGAGGAGAAGGGGTCAAGAGAGATGCTGCTTCTGCGACCCGTGTCTCCGCGGAGGTTAAAAGGGAAAAACCGACGACGATGACGGCGAAGGACAAAAAAAAATCCCGGCCGCACTTTTCCACTTGAGGACGTGTCCGTGGCAAGCGGACAAAAAAAACGTCTCGGAAATGTTTTATAAACAAGGTGGTCTTCATTGTAGTTCCTCGTACGTGTCGCACAGCTGCTGCTGTTAACAACACACGTGACGGCTGCCTCTACGTTGGATTTTTTTTTTATAGGGCCCAGGCTTGCGATCGGCCGTTTGGTCTCTTCTGTATTAATCGCAGGGAGATCCCCTTTGCTCCCCCGGTGGACACTTGTCGCCACGAACACCACCACACACACTTACACACAACACGCACACACAAACACGCTTACACACACGCACACACATACATAAAAACACGTTTGCGCACACACGCACACAAACATGCACACACGCACACAAACACACACACGCACACAAACACACACATGCACGCGCACACACGTGCACAAACACACACGCACACGCACACACGCACGCACATGCACACACGCACACACACAAACACGCACGCACACACGCGCACACACAAACACGCAAGGAGAGAAACCGGACCCCGGTCGACGATTGGTAGCGATGCGTTGTCAAATCCCCCCCCCTCCCCACCCCCCTTCACCCCCCACTACCCCCCCATCTCCCCCCCCCCCGGCCCCACGCGAACTCTCATTCTCTCGCTGAACATTTTCTACGAACGCTTCGACGCGACGGAGAAAACCTGGAGATGTTTGGCGGCAACGGCTCCCTGTTGAAGCAACAACAACAAGCAACAACAACAACAACAAAGCTCTCGGACAACTGCACGCCCCGGGGAAAATCCACGAGTCTAGAGGCGCTCGATAGCGCCGACACGGAAAAATGAATCTAACCGTGGATTTTAATATTCGCACAACACCCCCCCCCCACCCCCTCCATCATCGCCCACCCGCACAAAGAGGAAGAGAGAGACGGCACGGACAGATCTACCGAGGGACGCTGCTGACGACGGTGTCCGTGCGGGAGGGTGCTGCCCGCGCTTGCGACGGCGATCGTGGTCATCTGGAGTTGTTCCCCCCCCCCCACTCGCTCCGTGCTGCCACGGTTGCCGCCACCGCCCGCAAGCATTCGTCCACCCAAGCGGCACACGCGCGCCCTTTGGGAGCGACGGGCGCGACGGGGACCCGCTGGGTCAGTCGGAACGCGTCGACAAAACGCCGGGACGATTGCCACGCCGCCCTTCTTGGGCGTTCTTCGAGATCCCTCGTCGCGTCGTCGGGAACTTTTAGGGAAGACGACGCGACGCCTCCGATGAGAAGTTACAGTCTCGGAACTAATCTCCTTTTTTTTTTCTACTCCGAAGTATCGCTGACGATTCGTTTTTTTTAAATAAGAACACTCCGGTTCGAGTTTCTCGCCGCCGTAGACTCGCGCGGAATGGCTTCCGCCAAGTCGGCGCGCGTATGCTGACCTCACCAGGGTCATGGAGAGCCTCGTCTTGTGAGTGGAGGTGAAAAGGCGTTGAGGCCGTGGGTCAGCGTTGAGGCCGATTGGATCTTCTGCAATTCTGCGGTCCAGCGAGAAATGATTTAAGTCGGTCGATTCAAATGTCATTTCCACCTCCAAGCCAGCAGGGGGCCGTGGCCATCTTGAGTGGAGAGCAACCGCCACCAACCGACGCCTGGGCTCGACGCGTGACGCAGCCTGCCACTGTGACGTCACGCCGCGTCGTGTGGTGGTCACGTGGCCTCGACGGCTGCCCACGTAAATGTTGTCACGCGGCCGTTGGCGGTTGGTGGCGAAATCGACTCCCTGTCGCCGGTTGGAATCCACATCTGATTGTTGTTATTTGCGTTCTTGATTTTTCTATCATCATCATCATCATTCTGTGAGTTCTTTTGGTAAAGTCACGTAGGTAAAAAATGAAATTAAAATTAGTTAAAATAAAATACTAAAATCACGACGTCGTGATTTTATTATTTTATTTTTATTAATTTTAATTTCATCATCATTCTCTTGGTTCTTTCGGTAAAGTCACGTAGGTAAAAAATGAAATTAAAATTAATAAAAATATTTTTAATAAAAATAATAAAATCACGACGTCGTGATTTTATTATTTTATTAATTTTAATTTAATTTTTTACCTACGTGACTTTACCGAAAGAACTAAGAGTATGAATCCTTGCAGTCACGAAAGCTTCAAATCTAGAATCATCATCATCATTATTATTCCCCCTCGTGGTGAATGGCGAGGCATCGGGGGAAATGTGTTTTTGTCTCAGCCGCCGATGAGTCGACCAAGGTCGATTAGCGAACCGATGCATTTGATTGGTTTACTCAGATTAATCGGCACTGTATATAAATCCTCACCGGTTGCAGCCGCATTCTATTGATTATTATTCGAATAATTGTCATGTTTCATCGCGCGAAAATCTGTCTCGCAAAAGACGACGGGTTGAAAGGGGCGGGGGGGGGAGAGAACCCCTCCGCAACTTTGAGCGCCTCGCCCGCACGGAAGCTCAGCGGAGCCCCGTTGCCAAGTCGGGCGTGTGCTTGGCCTACTCTTCCGCAGCGGCCACGCTTCTTCGGATGAACAAAACAGTGTTGGTGTTAGAACCCGCTCCTAACCGCGACGCATTCGTTTCTTACTCTGCCGATTCCGCCTCTGGGTGGACAGAGGTGGTGGAGTTGGTGTGGGGGGGGGGTCGTGGTGGATAGTGGGGGTGGAGTTAGGGGGGGGGGGTGATTTAAGAATTCCTCCACCCCGATTTCTGGCCACCCGAGCAAGATGATGAAGATGAAGAGACCCATTGGATGAGATTGGACTCGATGCACACACACTCGAAGCCATGAGAAACGTCTTTAAATATCCAGCCCAGAGTGACACCCTCCCGCAAGTGTACATTGACCCCAGACACCTGTACATGAGTGTGTATATATATAATAATAATAACAACAATACTTGGGTTCCGCGTTGGTGCTTGTTCCACGCGTGGCCCGCGGTAAGGTCGGCAACTTTGTCACTAAAACCCATACACGTGTTTGTTGCTGCTGTCGTTTTTGTTTTTGTTGTTATTTACCGTTTTGTTTATCCATTGTAAATTGGCATCGCGCGTGTCGATTTGGAGACATGTACCCGGGATCGCACACCCCACACCGCTCGGCCGCTCGCTCTTTCGTTGCGCTCCCTGCTCTTGCCGTTCGATTTGGCGGCCTCATCGGCGATCCATCGGTCATGTTCGATCCACTGCTGGTTGAAGAGAAAGGACCCCCCCGTCTCCCCAGGCCTCTCGCGATGTAAATTAATCCGCTCCGGCCCAGCACCTTCAAGCGAGGCGACTTGAACGCTCCGTCCCCTTGAACCTTGAACCATCAGTTCGCCGTTCCCAATTTCGTACGTGTCCTGGCCTCCTTCCCCCGACAGTTTAAACGAGATCCTTAAGCCGTGCCAAGGGGCCATACATTGAGCAGGTACGCACAAATCTGTCAAAACCTGACCCCTCTCCCCCTCCCTGTACTCACGCGGACTTTTTACACCCCCCCCCCTCTACCTGTGTACGCTTGACGCACCCCCCCCCTCTCCGAATCCTATAGAACGGCCGATATTTAATCCACGCAGAAACGATCCAGGATCAATAATATTAACGTGTTTAAGCAAAGGGATAGTCCACCGCCGGAATATCTAACTCATTTAAAGGCCAATGTTGACAAATTATTATCGAGGCTTTACCCCCTCCCCCCCCCCCCCGTTTCCTATGTGTACATTCTCAGTAGACCCCCCATACGCAAGCTACGCATTTGGGTCAGCCCCCCTCCATGCGTACCGACTCAATGGATGCCCCCTAAGTTCTCTCATCCCACGTGGTTCCCTCCCCTCCCCCCCCCCCCATATTTTGCTATCTCAATGATAATTCCACGCGTCTGTGAAATCTGTACTCTTCAGAAGTGGGGGGGGGGGGGGGGGGGTTGGATCGTGGCAGGATGGAATTGGCCAAACATCCCTGCCCCGAATCGGTGGGGGGGGGGGGGCCTCTTGGAAATGTCTTGAGGCTCGCTGAAGTGTTCTTGGATGTACAAAGGACAACGTTGTTATTGTTGTTGTTATTATGGAAGTCTTCTTTTGTGTTGATCCTATGGTGGAACCATTCGTTATTTCATAATAGAGGGCTGTGGTTTTTTTGGCGGGATGGGGGTTCGATCTCGTAAATGTCGTCAAACCCGCCGCCACCGCTATCCGGCAGCCAATTGGTGAGGTTTGTCACGTGACGGCTTGCCAAGTGGCTGTGTCGGGTGGTGGCGGGTTTAACGACACATCGATATCCACGCGATCTCACCCAAACGCCTCTATTAGGGATACTATTGGTCGGGAAACCATCCTACGTGTCAAAACGAGCCATTCGTTATTTTCAGATTGTAAATCTTAAAGACCTTCCGCCCCCTCCCCACTGCATAACCGAACCGTGCTGGAGCCGTGCTGGAGCCGTGCTGAGCCGTGCTGAGCCGTGCTGAGCCGTGCTAGCTGGTGTGTGTGGTCTTTTTCCACTCCACTGCAGAAACCGAGCCGAGCCCGTGCCGCTGACGTCACGTGCAATGAACGAGGACGCGGCTCGCGTGTCATCGCTGCTTGCCCGCTGACGTCACACGCAATAAAATACGTCATTCGACCCCCCCCCCCCCCCTTCCTCCCCCCACCCCTGCCTGGGTGGCGCTGCTTGGCCCCATCCCACCCCACCCACCCCGAGCAAGATTCAAAGCAGATCTTCTTGCCAAGCACGGTTTGGTTTCCGGCAAACCGCCAGTGGGAAAAGAAACACAAAGCCCACACCCGTGCTGGATAGTGCTGGTGTGTGTGTGTGGGGTGTAAATATGAATGGGTTACTTTATTCCATTGCTTGTGATGCACACTGCCCATCGAATAACCATTGGATCGTAGGCATCGTCAGAACTCGCCACTTTGCAGGCGAGGCACGGGGCCGAGATTTCATCCGACGAGTTCATTTTCTCTCCCTCTGTCGCCTCCTCTCTCCTCTCTCTCCTCTCTCTCTTCTCTCTCCAGCCTGGAAAACGATTGAATTCCCGCAGGCAGTGAAAAAAAGTGTTTGCTCTGTCTCTCTCTCTCTCCGAAGGTGGCATCAGATATGTACGCTGCTACCTCCGGCCGCTGTAATTGTTACTAAATAAAAAAAACCCACAAATATTATCGCAATAATCGTTGGCGCAACTTTGTCGATCCATTGCTGGATGAAGGAAGGCCCTCGACCCACGTTGTGCCGTGTCAAATGCGATGTTGATCACTGATATCATTGCACACGATGTCTTATTTCTATGAAGGCTGTAATTATCCAACGCCTCCCCCACAACGATAAAGCCATCCTTAGGCAGCTTTGTGTTCATCTTCTTGGTTCTTTCGGTAAAGTCACGTAGAATGGAAATAATAAAATAATAAATAAAACATAATAAAATAATTCTCACAACGTTTCGGCCACAACGCGTGTCATCTGGTCGAACACCATATGAGACGAGGCTCCAAAGAAAGCTGTCTCTGTTGTGGACCAATCAGTTTCAAAGACAATGCATAAATTATCAGAGTACTGTTTTTTGTTTGCATTTGACTGCAAGTATTGTGGTTAATGTAAGCATGATTCCTTGCAAAAGGTGTCAGTTTTGTTGCCAGAAAAAAGGGGAAAACCCCTATTGGGACTGTGAATATGATGAAGAATTTGATGATGAAATTGATCATTGATATCAATGATGAATTCGATTATGACAATTTTTTTGAAACGTAATCACGACAAATTATTTAATTATAATAATAACTTAATTATGTTGACGACGATCGCCACATACCAATTGTGAGCCTTAGCGTGTCGACCACCTGCATCATCGTCACCATCGCCACCATCGCCACCACCGTCACCATCGCCACCATCGTCACCACCGTCACCATCGCCACCATCGTCACCATCGCCACCACCGTCACCATCGCCACCATCGTCACCATCGCCACCACCGTCATCATCGTCACCACCTGCATCATCGTCACCATCGCCACCGCAGCCAGCAAGATGCTGACGGGCCCACGCTGAGTTGGAAATTTCCCCGGGGCATTTCATGTATCGTTGTGGTGCCACCTAGCCCCCCCACACCCCTCCACACCTCCCCTCCACCCGACCCCCCCACTACACCACAAGCCATGCGATTGAGCAGCAAGCAAGAGGCACGCGTTCACTTTTGACAGCGGCACCCACGGGGCTTCTCATTGAGTGATGAAAGAGTCCGTCTCACCGGCCCCCACCACCACCATCACCTCGCCCCCACCACCACCTCGCCCCCACCACCACCACCTCGCCCTCACCACCACCTCGCCCTCACCACCGCCACCTCGCCCTCACCACCACCCCCCTCTTGCTGGCGTGTTGTTATCTCACGCTGAGTTGCACATTTTTGTGTGCGTGCGTGTGTGTGCGGTGTGTGTGTGTCGGAGTGTGTGTGTGTATGTGCGGTGTGGTGTGTGCGTGTGTGCGTGTGGTGTGTGCGGAATGTGTGTGTGTGTGCGTGTGTGTATGTGGTGTGCGTGTTTGTGTCTGTGGTGTGTGTATGTGCGGTGTGTGCGGAGTGTGTGTATGTGTGGTGAGTGCGGCGTGTGTGCGTGTGTGCGTGCGGAGTGTGTGTTTGTATGTGTGGTGTGTGTGTGCGTGTTTGTGTTGAAACGCAGCCACTCTGGTCGTGTTCTTGAAAAGGGATTTTTTTGTCTTCTGTTTTTTTGACTTAAAACTTTCGTGACTGCAGGAAATCATATTCGTTGGTTCTTTAGGTAAAGTCACGTAGGTAGAAAATACAAATTAAAATAAAGTAAAAAAATAGAGGCAAAAAACGTCGGTTTTTTGCTTTTATTAAAAAAAAAGATTTATTTTTATTTTCTATCTCCGTGACTTT